AAGCTGTCCCTCCTCCTACCCGCAGCAATTCCTTACTTTGCAACACCACCCCGCCCCCTTTTCAGGACCCTTATAGTCTGGACTTTAAGTCTTCTCTTTCTGTAAAATCAAAAACACCTCGCTGGCTTCCTCCCACCCACCCACCCACCCCCAGTTACTCTCCCTGCCCCTTCCCAGTCAAACTTCTCCAAAAAGTTACCCATTTGTCCTCAGCTCCATTACCCCATTCCCAGCCCTCATGTCACCCCTGCAGCCTGCCCCCTGCCCCCTGTACTCCCCTGACACAGCTCTCCATAAAGTCCCAGTGACCCCAGGAGCCCACACATCTAGAAGACACATTTCTGTGTTCACTCACTCCTTGTTAATTCCTTCTCATCCTTCCGGCCCTTTGGGGAAGCTTTCACTGACCTCCTCAACAAGGTCAAGCCACCCACTAGTGGCACTCTCTGTTCCTCTTTCCTTTGTAACAGTTGTCATCTGTCACTGTTAAAATTTCACTTTTGTGAGATTATTTGCCTAGATTAGGCCTCCTCAAGGAGAGAGACTGAGTCTGTGTTTATTCTCCTGGGCAGCCTGAGGGTCTCCTTGGCTCAATGCTGGACAGAGTAGGTGCTTAATAAACCGATGTTAGAAGAATACAGGCTGCCAGCGTCTGTGCTAGGCTTTCGGTGTACGATGATGAAGAAAATTCCAGAAAGTGAAGGGTGTTGGGGAGGAGGAGAGCCAGGGGCAAAGGTGGAAGGGAGGGGCTGCTCCTGTCGTGCTTCCCGGACCAATCTGGAGCCTTTTCAAGAACAGCATATACCCTCACAATTGTCACCTTGACTGTCTCTGTGTCAGAAAAGCCAGCAACTGAGGTAGGAATACACACCTACCATCTGATACTTGACATAGAGAGCTCTTTAATGAGTGCTTTCTATCCACTGTGAGTGACACCTCTTTCTGGCATCGGGCTACTAGAACACAGGGCCTGGACCTGTCACTGTGCCTACGTGTGGCTGGCATCTTCCACAGCAGCGGCCTGACAAGCTCCACAGAGCAGCAGACCTCACTCTGCTGCAGAGCCACAGCCGAGACCGCCGCACTGCCGTACCGCTCTCACTACTCGGTTACTGCTTCCCTGCGGCATATCCACACGTAAGCGCTCGCTTTAGGCATTAAAAGGTCAGATGCATACGACAAATATTTAGAATCTAACAAACACAATATGGAGATGCGACCAGCAAAGTCCAGACCGTTGGAAACTCTACTGAACAAATGACCGGGTATTTTCCAACAAAACAATTGAGAGAGGGCATGGAGGGAGGATTTAAAAGTGATTTAAGGGATATATTAACTAGACAACTATATGGAACTTGTTTGGATCTTTACTCAAATGAAATACTGTACTATAAAATTGAAATGATAAGATAATCAGAGAAATGTGAATACAGACTGGATCTCTGATGATATTAAGAATATGTTACCACTTTTTTGGGAGTTTGGTGATAGTTTTAAAAGGGCAGTGCTAATCTTTTTGAGGAACATATTGAAATATTTATAGATTGTAAAATATGAAATAATATAATGTCTGGGATTTGCTATAAAATAACCAGAGTGAGGTGAGTGGGGAAGGGGCAAGGTCTTAGAAGAAAGAAGACTGTCAGTTAATGGTTGAAGCTGGGTGATGGGTACACCTGACATACTTAGAGAACTGAACATTTCAAAGACTTAAAAAGCAAATCTAACTAATAGAACCCCCAAGCACCTAAATTTTTGTTAAGTAATTTTAAAAAAAGTTTTTTCTTTATTGATTTTAGAGACAGAGGAAGGGAGAGATAGAAACATCAATGAGAGAAAACATGGATTGGCCGCCTCCTGCGTGCCCCCCACTGGGGATCATGCCCACAACCTGGGCATGTGCTCTGACCGGGAATCGAACTGGTGACCTCTTGGTGCATGGACTGATGCTCAACCACTGAGCCACCCTGGTTGGGCTGTTAGGAAATTTTCAAAGTCTGTAATAACTTAGAATTTTTTCACTTTTTTTGGTTAATCCTCAACTGAGGATATTTTTTCCATTAATTCTTTTTTTCAGAGAGTGGAAGAGAGGGAGAGAGGGAGAAAGAAAGAAACATCAATGTGAGAGAGACATTAATTGTTTGCCTCCCACATACACCCCAATGAGGTGGGGGATCAAACCTGCAACCCAGATACATGCCCTTGACTGGGTGGGAATCAAACCCTCAACCTTTGGTGCACAGGCCGACGCTCTAACCACTTAGCCACACTGGCCAGGGCTCTTTCACTTTTTAAGATGTCTAATAGAGAGCAGTACTTTGAGTCACAAGCCTTTTAAGGTATCTCTGAAAGTAGGATCCAGAACTCACAGCTGCCTGCCTTTTGTCGCATTTCTGCTGTAGCACATCACCTCTGTACTTCCATCACAACAGGCACTTACCTCTGAGGAGCTGGGATCTATTTCAAGGATGTTCACTGAATTGACTGCCTTCAAACATCATAAAGGAGATACAGATACAGTCTGGCAATGACAGAGGTTTCACAGCCTTCCTACTGCTTTCAAACTCAGACATACAGCTTTACATCCATGTCTCCACCTAGCAATTGTGCTGGGGGCTGGGAAAAACTGTCCAGCCAATGCTTCCCGAGGACCACACCGCTGACCCTGCCCATCCTCACTCAGGCTTCACCTCAGTCTTTTTGTTGTTAATCTTCACCAGAGGACTTCTTTCCTTTGAATTTTAGAGAGAGTAGAGGGAGGGAGGCAGAGAAAGAGAGAGAGTGATTGCCTCCCGAGTCAGGATGTGGGGGGATTGAACCTGAAACCCTTTGGTGAGCAGTAGGTCGCTCTAACTACTGAGTCACACCAGCTAGGGCCACATCAATCTTTGAAACTGCCTCTAACACATTGGGTCAACTAAGTGACCTGTTAATTTTTGTTCTTGACTGCTTCTTTCTTATCAACATTTGAACTGGCCAACTTAAAAATATTTAGAAACTTCTAAAGTCTTACTGAACCCTATGTCAAAATCTGATGCTGGGCAGAAACGAAATTTCTGAGAGTTTAATGACATTCAATTGCCTTCTGATACAGAAAACACTAACAACCACTCTTAGATTCACTGTGGCTTCTACTGAAATGGTGCCTGACCCCAGCTGTAACTCCCAAGTCCAATAAACTTGCTTTGGCTACAAACTTTAAAAATTTTTGTGAAACACATTCAATTGCTGAAAAATTTAAGAGAGGCAGGTCTGAGTTTTTTTTCTCTAGCAAAATAAATCTTCTCTAAACCTTCCTTGGTTAAATCAATTCTTCATAAAATAAAGCAGCTATTCCTCCGTATGACTTAGACAAGATAAACAGCCTCAGAACCAAACCACACAAAATTCCCAAAGCCTCACCAATCTTGTCCATGAACAAAGCGAATGAAAACAAAGAACAGTATATAAGAGTAAGCCCAGGAATTTTCCAGCACCCCCATTTCCATAGGGTGCACGCACACACACAGACACCCCCCACGCGCGCGGAATTTGCCCACGGGTGACCTGTGCTGACTTTCAGTGGGGAAATACAGGAAGTTATGTATTTTGTTTTTGTTTGTTTTAAATGGAAGAGGAGGAAAGTGGGGCGTGAATAATTGTATACGAGGCTTAAGTTTTTCCTTTCCTCTCATCTTTCTCTACATGAAAATGTAGGCGTTACGGTGAAATATCCAGTGGCAATTTCTTGGGCGGTTAAATACCACAATTAAAACCGGTGAAGGCCGGGAAGTGTGTGCGTGTGTGGGAGGGAGATAAGGCTGAAACCCAAGACTGGAGGGGTGGGCCGGGTCAGAGGCCCCTGCGCTCCGCCGAGCTGCACCGAGCACGCGAGGTCGCCACGTGCCGGCCGCGTCCCGGTTCTCGGTCGCCCGCTGCCCTGGGTTTTGCTAGTGGCTGCGCCGTCTGGGCTGCCCACTCACACCTCGGGCTGGTCCCGACTGTAGGCTAGGCTCATTCACTTCCGGTGACAAATCCCTCCCACCACCTCTAGAAATAATGTAGCATTTCCCCCACCGCTTTCCTAAGGACCGACAGCCCCAGGGAGAGCGCAGAGCCGGCCGCTGGGGTCTCGTCCCCGCACGCCCAGCGGCGCCCAGCTGCGGAGGGGGTGACAGCGGAGGGAGTGACAGCGACGGGGGTAGGGAGGGCGTGGGAGGAAGAGGAAGGGAGTGTGGCATCTCACCCCCCCCCCCCGCCCCACCCCGCCGACTGCTGCAATTGGCCAAAAACATAGTAATTCGTTTTTAGGCTCCCCCAGGGCCCCCAGAACCCGGTTGCAATGAGAAACCCGTTCTCTCCCATCCGGGTGCCCCTCGCCTTCTCCCGCCCCCGTAACTGCCTGCGGGGATCCAGGAGCCCCAGGCCACGCCGAACTGCAGAGGTTTGGGGGGGGGGCTGAGGATAAAGGTTTTGGGGCGGCAGGAATGGGTTGGGGAAAGGGCTGGTGTAAAATAAAAGAAAAACCAGAGGCATGCAAGCGGCTCTCTAGCCAGCTGTTCCAGCTGCAGCTTCCTCCGACGCGGGCCGGGCGGTGCAATATTCCACCCCCCCTCCATCTTTCTCACCACTACCTGTCCCCCCACCCACCACACGCACATATTCCCCCCACCAGTAGCAGATCTCTGGCCTGTAAGGGAGAGGTAGGGAGGAGCTGGGGGGGAGGGGGAGGACTGCGAGTTTCTAACCTTGTTCTTATAAACAAACCCACATGTGCAGCTGCCGCTGCTGCAACTCACCCCACAATCCCGGATATAAGTCCTGCCCCTTTAAGAAGAAAAAAAAGCTTCCCCCGCCTGCCTCCTACCCCACCCATCCTCAAGGACCTTTGTTTCTCCACCCACTTTGTCAGTCGGCCCCGCCCCTCCATGTGGAGGAACCAATAGACTAAGAAAATAAGGCCGGTCGTCTGACGTCATCATGCCTGGCCAATCACAGGACGCATTGGTGGGAGGCCTCAAGGAGGGCGCTCCCGGGAGGAAGGAAGGCAGGGGAAAGGAAGCTTGCAGCCAAGATGGAGACAGCTAATTGCTCCGGTGCGGTCGTGGGAAACGGGGACATGGGGTCCCAGCGGGACCGCAGCCTGCTGCCTGAGCGGCTTCAGAGACGAGATCAAGAGAGACAACTGGAGGTGGAAAGGCGGAAACAAAAGCGGCAGAACCAGGAGGTGGTGGAGGAGAAGAGTGACTTTTTCACTAGCGCCTTCGCTCGGGAGCGAGCAGCGGTGGAAGAGCTTCTGGAGGGCGGGGAGTCCGTCGAACGGCTGGAGGAGGCGGCCGCCCGGCTTCAGGGGCTGCAGAAACTTCTCAACGACTCGGTTTTGTTCCTGGCCGCCTACGAAGTGCGGCAGGGACAGGAGGCGCTAGCGCAGCTGCAGGCCGCCTTGGCCGACCGGCGCCTTCAGCTGCAGCCCAAGAAGCGCTTCGCTTTCAAGAGCCGGAGGAAGGACGCTGCTTTGGCCACCGAAGTAGACGCGGCTCCTGGCACCCAGGCGGCGGAAGGCATCCTGGCCTCCGCGCCGTCCGTGAAGGAGGAGGGAGGCTTGGACTCCAGCTGGCTCTGCGGCTTCTCCAACCTGAAGTCCCAAGTCTTGGAGAAGAGAGCGGAGGAGTTGCACCAGCGAGACGTCGTTTTGACCGAACTGAGTAATTGTACGATCAAACTGTATGGCAATCCCAACACCCTGCGGCTGACCAAGGCCCGGAGCTGCACGTTGCTCTGCGGCCCGGTGTCCACTTCTGTGTTTCTGGATGATTGCAGTGAGTGCGTGCTGGCCGTGGCCTGCCAACAGCTCCGGGTACACACTACGAGAGACACCCGCATCTTCCTGCAGGTGACCAGCAGGGCCATCGTGGAGGACTGCAAAGGGATTCAGTTCGCCCCTTACACCTGGAGCTACCCGGGGATCGACACAGATTTCGAGAGCTCTGGTTTAGATAGGAGCAAAAATAACTGGGACGACATTGACGATTTCAACTGGCTGGCCCGGGATATTGCCTCCCCAAACTGGAGTATTCTTCCTGAAGAAGAGCGAACGATCCAATGGGACTAAGTAGTTGTTACTCTTCTACCAAATTCTTCCCATGTGGGACTGACTCCAACTAATGGGACCCCAAAGTTTACTTATAATTTGTCACATAGTGTATGTTTTCAGTATTTAAGACTTTAAATGGTGATAAGCTGCTTGTGATTTTCATTAAATTCGCGACAGGAATAACACTTTGAATTATTTGTGCTGTTTTGATAGTGTCTAGGAGTTATTATTTGACTATGACAGTTTGAAGCCATATGGGGAAAAGAGTGGTTCTGTTGCTTTTTGATTTGTGGTATTTAAAACTTATTGCATGATAAAGTAGGCCTTCAATAAATACTTGTTTAATAAACGAATTCAGTAGGTCTCTGGTAGGAACCAATTACTGTGGAATTACGGTATCAAACCTGTGCAAAGTACTGTTAATGAGAACTTTATTGAATTGAATGTTTGACCTCCATAGGTATTTCTCAGCAGGGTTCTCTTTGGAAAGGCTCCTCTTTGGTCTTCAGCTACATATTAGCTTGGGCTTCTGTAATCCAGCTAGTCACTGACTTCTTTGGGTCCAGAATTTTATCTTGGACTCCCAGAGGCTCATAAGTCTTCCCTACTGTAAAACCGAAATAATTATAGCTACCAATTTTTTGTGCATTTCAAATGTCATTGACACAGTATTAAGTACCTTACTCACATACACTTATTAAGTCCTCAAAATCTTATGAGGTAGGTTATGTTAGCACTATTTTTTGTTGTTTTTTTTAATCCTCACCCAAGGACATTTTTGCATTTATCTTCAGATAGAGCAGGAGAGAGAGAGGGAGGAAGAGAGGGAGAAACATCGATGTGAGAGAGACACATCAACTGGTTGCCACCCACACAACGCCAGCCGGGGCAGGGACAAACTGCAACTGAGGTACATGCCCTTAGCGGGAACTGAACCTGGGACTCTGCTCCGAGGGCTGACAGGAACCAAACCTGGGACTCTGGTCCGCAGGCTGACACTCTAATCGCTGAGCCAAACCGGCCAGGGCTGTTGGCACTATTTTTCAAGTGAGGAAACAGATAAGTATATGTTGCTCAAGGTCACACATGCTGGTGGACTGGAACTTAAAAGTTGTGCAGATCAACAGCCCACCTTCTTAACTCACTACAAGATAGTGACTTTGAATTGAGTTGAAAAGAAAGCATCCAAGCCCTGGTCGGTTTGGCTCAGCGGTTAGAGCGGCAGCCTGCAGTCCAGAGAGACGAAGGTTCAGTTCCCGTTAAGGGCATGTGCCTTGGTTGCTGTTTGTCCCCAGCCCTGGATGGGTCGTGCTGAGGGCCTTGCAGGTGGCAACCACTTGATGTGTCCTTTTCACATTGATGTTTCTCTCTCTCTCTTCCTCACTCTTTCCCCCACTATATCTGAACAAAAAATGGAAAAAATGTCCTCAGGTGAGGATAAAAAAAAAGCAAGCATCCAAAATAATTTAAAAGGGCAAATTGTTTTTGTTTGTTTGTTTTTTACTTCTCAGGCATAATTATGATACATTTCCTCATACAAAAAAATTGAGGCAGCTCTGGTTAAGAAGCTCAATTGATTAGAGCATTGTCCCATATGCCAAGGTTTCGGGTATGATCCCCCATCAGGGCACATACAACCAATGGCCCTGGCCAGTGTGGCTCATTGGAGTATCATCCCATACATCAAAAGGTGGCAGGTTTGATTTCCGGTCAGGTCACATACCCAGGTTTCGGGTTTGATCCCCACTTGGGATGCGCGTGAGAGGCAACCAATTGGTGCTTCTCCTCTCGATGTTTCTTCTCTCCCTCACTAAAGTTAATTTAAATATTGAAATAAAAGTTTTAAAAAAGAGCCAGTGAATGCATAAATAAGTGGGACAACAAATCAATGTTTCTCCCTCTCAAAAAATAAACTTAAAAAATTGAGGCAGCCCTGGCCAGTTTGGCTCAGCGGTTAGAGTGTCGGCCTGCGGTCCAGAGAGACCTGGGTTTGGTTCCCGCTAAGGGCATATTTCTTGGTTGCAGTTTGTCCCCGGCCCTGGTTGGGTCATGCCGGTGGCAACCACTTGATGTGTCCCTTTCATGTCCATGTTTCTCTCTTTCTGTCTCTCCCTCCCACTCTATATCTGAACAAAAAATGGAAAAATGTCCTCGGGTGAGGATAAAAAAAAAGCGCTGGCCGGTTTGGCTCAGCAGTTAGAGCGCTCAGCAGTTAGAGTGTCGGCCCACTGACCAGAGAGTCCCAGGTTCCAGAGAGTCCCGCAGACCAGAGAGTCCCACTAAGGGCATGTACCTCGGTTGCAGTTTGTCCCCGGCCCGGTTGGAGTCGAATGGGCGGCAACCATTCAATGTGTCTCTCTCACATCAGTGTTTCTCTCTTTTTCCCTTCCTCTCACCCTTCCCCTCTATCTGAAGATAGATGCGAAAATGTCCTCAGGTGAGGATTAAAAAAAAAAAAGAATAATAGCCTGCTGAACTCTATTCCTTAGTCGGATGTTAATCCAGAATTTTTTCCCTCAACTATTAGCTGACTTGAAAAGGGATCCTAACCAGTTTCACAATTTGTAGCATGCACAAAGAAGAGAAGGGAAATCAATTGCTTAGGAGAAATAATCCTGATAATAAAAAGAGAAATATTTTGTAATGAAATTCTCAACCATATCTTCACATTAGACACTCTGACCAGAATACCAAGACTGCGCCCCTGGGACTGAGTTCAACACCAAGCACACTCCAGGAGAAACCATGCCTGCGGCACTAATGGGCTTGCAATTCATGTGTGTGAAATGTTCATTTTCACAAGAAAGGTAACTAATTACATCTACAAAATGAACCCGGTGACCCTTGTGTGAACCTGCAGTTTGTAATACATACTGAAATTACAGAATCATGGCAGCTGGAATCCTGGTCAATGCTTGCTAATCTCCACTGAGCTCTCCTTGCTGCTGAGCAAGCCTTAACATTCCTCAATATTTGAAGTTTCCAGAGCTACTTCTACTTGCTCCCATCCCCTCCTACCACTTGTAGATTCTGCTCCCTTTCCATTGGCCTTCTTTTCAAAATACCAGATCCTGAGATCCTCCACCGTACACTCTACTGAATGACGGTCCAGCTCTTTCCCTGTCAGCCATCTTTAAAGAGTAGCTCTGTCCACCTACATCTATATCTGCTCCCATTTTATGTCTGTAATTTTACCCCCTTTCTCTGCTGACCTGGCTCATTAATGTACCTGCGCCTTAGCACCAAATCTAACAGGTCCCTCCTCTTCCCCTGTCCTACCCTCTCACTCTAGCTGCACTTTGCTACCTTACCCTTGAAGTTCTCTCTTTCCCTGGCCTCCATAGCTTTGTTCTACTGTTTCTCTTCTGGTAGCTTCTTTCCCTTCCTTGGGGTTCCAGTGACATATAGCCCTAGTTGGTGGTGCGGCTGGCAGCCACTCGATGTGTCCCTTTCACCTCGATGTTTCTCTCTCTCTCTTCCTCCCACTCTATCTGTACAAAAAATGGAAAAATGTCCTCAGGTGAGGATAAAAAAATAAAAAATAAAGGTAATACTAATATTTAATCAAAAAACATTTTAAAAAAATAAAATAAATTGGCCATTCCAATTAAGATGAGGGTCAATTATTTACCCAGCTTGAAGTTTTGAGAAGGGCAGGGTCAATATGACACAGAAAGCCATGCTCAATTCAACTGATCAAGTATTTTAGATTTACTATGCACCTGTTTGGTGCTGAATGCTAAGGACACATGCTAAACAAAATAAGCACATGCTTCTCTTTTATGAAGGTTCCTATAGTTGAAGGTCAGACGAATGAAAGAACAATCATAAGAGAAATTCTGAGAACTCTGATAGGGTAATGCCCTATTTTAACCTCTCCAGGTGAGAGGGAACCATAAGAAAAGCATCTATATCAACACCAATCCAGAGTTTGGATTCCCTGGGTGGCATCCCTACCCACTACCTACTCAGAGCAGCAGTGTCACAGAAGGAAGGAGTTAGGCGAAGGTCTTCCTTCTAACTTTTCAGATACTGTACTTACCTTGAACTTCAAGAACTGACCAAGCCAAGCAAGACAATGCAAGGCTTTCACTCACCTGGTTACCAGGCTCAACATTCTGTTCAGCCATTCAAGGACTTTATAATACAGATTTTTTATTTAGTTTAATACCTTTCAGTTGTGTTTGTTTCAGCAAAAAAAGCTATCCATAATCTGGTTTTTACAACTGATATCAAGGTAGAGGTTTGGTTCTAAGATGACGGTGCAGTGGATTTTTAAAAACATAGATAATTTGCTTGGGCGGTGTGGCTCAGTGCTTGAACGTCGACCCATGCACCAAGAGATGGCAGTTCAATTCCCAGGCAGGGCACATGCCCAGGTTGTGGGCTAAATCCCCAATGGGGGGCATGCAGGAGGCGGCCAATTGATGTTCGCTCTCATCAATGTTTCTCTCTCTCTCCCCCTCTCCCTTCCTCTCTCTCTAAAAATCAATAAAGAAAAAATAAAAATAAAAATAAATGAAAACATAGATAATTTGCACACAGGTACAGAAAGATTAGAATAAAAAGTAAATCTCGCCCGGCTGGTGTGGTTGAGTGTTGACCCATGCACTAAGAGGTCGCCGGTTTGATTCCCAGTCAGAGCACATGCCCAAGTTGTGGGCCAAAACCCCAGTGGGGGGCATGTAGGAGGCGGCCAATCGATTTCTGTCTCATCAATGTTTCTATCTTTCTCTCCCTCTCCCTTCTTCTCTCTCTAAAATCAATAAAGAAAAAAAAAAGTAAATCTCCCTCCTTCCTTTGATCCTAGCCATTCAGTTCTCTTCTAAGAACAACTACCTTTTACCCGTTTCCTTTGTATTCTTCAGGCCTTTGCATTTACAAGCTTATGTAAAAAATACCCTTTATCCTTCCAGCCAAATAGAAGCACACTTTGTATATTTGTCACTAACATTACAATAAGTCCTTAATGTTGTCAATAAATTCTGTGACTTTAAGTAAAAGAACGGATCATGAAATCAATTTTACCATGGGCTAATTGATATAAACAAGAGTTAAGTTCCCTATGGCATCCCATCATGTTATAACAAAATGACTTGTAAAGAAATGATGTTGATTCGAGGACTTGCTGCATGTTGAAGATCTTAGCATCTAAGTACATCACATCCACTCATTCTCTTTAACTGCTGAATATATATTCTCTTATATGGAATACTTATACCATAAGTATGTGCCATACTTATTTAACTGGTCTGTGATGAACATTTAGGTTGTTTCCAATCTTTAACCCTTAGAAAAATACGGCAATGGCCCTGGCTGGTTTGGCTCAGCAGTTAGAGTGTTGCCTGAACCAGAGTCTTGGGTTTGATTTCCGTCAAGGGCACGTACCTCGGTTGTGGTTCGGTCTCTGGTCCTGGTTGGGGTTGAGCAGGAGGCAACCAACTGATGTATCTCTCTCACATCAATGTTTCTCTCTCTCTCCCTCCCTCCTACTCTATCTGAAGATAAATGGAAAAATATCCTCAGGTGAGGATGTAAAAAGAAAAGAAAGAGAAAAATACTACAATGAATATCCTTATATAAAAATTATTTAGCATGTGTACAGTACAATATCATCTGTAGACTAAGTACTTAGAAGTGGAAATGCTTGGTCCGTAGGTTATGAACATTTATAATATTGATAGATCTTATCAAATTACCTTCCAAAAAATTTACACCCTCTCCAGCAATGTCTGAGAGTGCTGTTTCTCCACATCTTTATCCATATACTGTACTATCAAATTTTTGGATCTTTGCCAATCTGATAGTTACAAAATGTTATCTT